AGCTTCTCCATAACTGTGTGAACAAATTCCTTGCAACAAATCTCTTAATGTCCTATATAGTTTTGCATTACTTTTTTCTTTTTTCATTTCCATTGTATGTATTCTAATTTTCTTCACTGACAACCCAAACAGGGAATTGAAACAAGGCTGTTTTACTATTTTTGCTCTACTGTGATCATTCAAAAGCAATGAATATACTGTTAAGAATAAGGCATAGTACCTAGAACAGCTTGGCGCAGGTTAGCTTCAATCCAGTAAACTACCCCAAGTCTTGACAAGGCTGAGGTGACAAATTTTAAGAGTTGGGCACTAAGAAAATGTTATCTAATAATAATAATCATCTTCATATATAATAATAATGTGTTCACTACTAATTATTTCTGTTAAGTAGGTACTATTATTACCATTCTGATTTTAGAAATGAGGAAACCAAGCCATGGCATAATTATACAAAGTCACACATCAGGTAAATTAGCTGGGAATTGTAGTTTTGCACTGGTTAAATTCTGTCTAATACAGCCATGAAATTTTTATTTTTCATTTTGAATTAAATCTAATTGACCCCCACTTTGATATTTAAGGTAGATATCCCTCCACAAGGTGTTCTCTTTATTCGGATGAACTGAATGGGGTTCATTATTTTCATAGTAGATGTGAATATGCTTTTAATTCAGCATGTTTTTCTATTTTGCTATATCTTTTCTATCTTTCTGTTTCAGAAGGAAACAATGAATATAAATTCAATGACAACTTTCTTTTGTAACTTAAAAAGAAGAAACATATTTAGCAATTGCAAATGAAAAAAAAAATAAAACACTCATATCTAATTTGCACAAAATTGAAACCCTTATTACAAATGATATTTCTCATAGATTTATATGTGCATTTTAGAAAGGTCTTATATATTAGAAATGGAATTGCAGTATGAAATCACTTTATTGAAACAGAGTTAGACATTGTCATTGCTTTGCCAGCTCACAATCTAATTTTAAATGACTCAGCTGTAAAAATTTCATAATTTTCCTAGGCAGAGTTTCTTAAAACTGTTTTTAATAATAATAATTTTTTGTCAAGTTTCATTTCATCCTGATCTACTGTGAAAACCTATAAAACTAGAATAAAGGCACATACACATAGGCTTTGAGAGCTAACTTGAAAATAAGAAACCAGAAGAAGCCAGATTTGAAACTAAAGTCAGATTTTAATTTAACAGAAAGCATTATTCATGACAAACTTTTCTAAAATGAAATGAAGTCCTTAAAAAAAAAAAACTCCACTTTAGAAATGTTAAACATTTATTCATTTTTTCATTGGGAGTTCCTTTCTTGAGGGTAATAAGAATATGCACAAATAACCAGACTTTTTGATATTTAAATATTACAACCGAAAATTCAAAGTTTTTTTTCTTCCACATATGTTAGGTATTATTGTAAAATAAATTATTTTTAATTACAAAGGACTAGTACCAGTGGATATCTAAGAAATTTATTACCATTTACTTGCAATAACAAACATGTGCTTTGATATTTTTATTTAGTTATTATAAAAACTGAGTTTTCAAGGAAGGCATTTTTAACAGGACTATGGTTGTAAAAATAAATTTACACCTAGCAGTTCTTTAAACTTAAACTAAAAATTGTGGTAGAATAAAATGTCAAGCAAGAGAAACTTTTTCTGTAATATATACATAAGTATTTTCATGTAAACAAAAGCAAAAATCAAAAAATTAAATTAAATATCTTTGTAAGCAACAGAAATACATAGATCAAAAAGGTTATTTTATTTTACTTCATGCTTCCATTGAATACAACTGGCATAAGCAGAGCAACAGGAATTAGATGAATTTTTACATTTCTCTCACATTTTTCAGGAAATTACATACATAAAGAAATATCCTAGAGAGAGGTATCTCTAGGAGAAAAAGTACTAGAGTAATTAGACTTCTGAAAGTCATGAATTTCAATTATTAAGTCACTCTTCTTGCTCTACTGTGAAACATATAATATGATTGGGCAGAGGTGAGGGAGTAGTGGGAGGGTTTATGGGGGCAGGAAAGATGGTGGAATGAGATGAACATCATTACTCTAGGTACATGTATGCCCGTCTATATGGTGCAACACTACATCATGTACAACCACAGAAATGAAAAGTTGTGGTGCAATTGTGTAAAATGAATCAAATGCATTCWGTTGTCATATATACCTAATTAAAATAAATAATTTTTTTTAATAAAAGAAGAAAGTAAAGCTAACACTGGCAAGATCCACACTAACACACTTGGCGGCCAATCAGGCACACAGACATAGATTTTCCTCTCAATGTGGATTACCCATGCACTAGGAGATAACAGTTTCCAACACAAAACAATTGTTTTGAGATAAAACAAACAATATTTAAAGGATATTTATACAGGAGTGTTTTTTGGAAGTGTGCCTAGGGACCACCTGAACCACAATCACACAATATGTTCAATATAACAAAAATGTACATTCCTGGGCTCAAATACAGATCCTCTGTGAGATAAGAATCTGTACTGGTCCTCTTGCTTAGAAATATTTAAACACTTTGAAGTTTAAAATATCACTACCAAAGACTGTTTGTGATTTCTCTTGACTTTTCCTTTTGACCACACTATTTAATTATCTCTTTCATACTTCCTATTTATTAGCCAGAAGGAAAAGAAAACAGCATCATATCTGATTATGTCAGTCAGCAGTGATAAGTAGTAGTGGTTTTCCTCCCCTCAAGAAAATATGGGGGAATAAGCAACAAGCAATTTTGCACCTAAATTTATTGAAGGTGCACCATAGTACTTTTTTTTAAAGCTTTCAAAATGTATACATAATATATTTTCAAAGTGATTTGTAAACTGTCATCTGATCAAGATTATCCAGTGTAAAGAGAACGGCGTTGTTGTTGCTGAATTCTTACAAAGGCCCCTCACAGTCTTCTCTCAGGAACAATGAGCATCTGAGCAGGCTCTCCTGAGCTCTCAGCAAGGGAGGCACTGCCCACTCAGCAGCACAAAAGCACCTACAGCCTGCTCATCAAACAAGAAGAAAAAACAAAGCCCAGTCAACTCCATCCACAAAATCTCAAGACCTACCAATATGTAAGATGAATACAGATCATGTTGACTTTCCTGAGAGAAAGCTGAATCTCAAATATCTTTACTAATGATATCTTCTTGAAATCCAGTTTATGTTGACAATGGAAAGTAAAATACACATCAACATGCTACTAGTATCTACTGCAGTATTTATGTCCTAAGGAACCCCATGGACAAAAACAATTTTATCTGTGGTTAATATAAGTTAGAAATTAAAGAGGTAGGTGACTATCATCTGAAGATGACCCCACAACATGCTGAATAATATACTTGACTTCCAAAAGAGTTCTTTAACTGGACAGTGAATTCCAACACCGTTGTAATTTCTGAGCAGAGTTTCCCAACATCCTAATTCCTGATACCAAATCACCAGCTTTTAAGATATTCATTTTTAAGAAATAACTAATGAAGTAAAATGTAAAGAAGTAATACTGGATACCAAAGAGTGATGCTGAAATCAGCTGGGCTCTTCAAATAGCTATAGTCTCATATGAAGGGAAAGCACATTGAAGTTGGATAAGACCTTACAGATTCACCTAATCCAACTCTGGTTTTACAATTGAAGAAACAGGCTGATTTTTTCCAATGGCTTACGAAGCATTAAAATTCTGAAAAGATGTTATAAATCCAAGGTTAAATTACCAAGTTATCCCATGATATAGCCAGGAGGCCACATTTTCAGCTCTTATGGCCTAAGTCTGTAGTTCCATCCCAGTTGGCTATTATAAAGTATGCCAGTGGTAACAGGACGTGACCAAAGGCCCTGCATGCACCTGAGGAGACAGATAGTCAGCAAAAGAAAAATAATTTGAAGCCCACAGATCTTCTCTATTAAAACCTGCTCTAGGCTCAGATAAGGATTTATCTTCCTTCTTTGTGGTAGACACCTCTCGGAGTACATTCACAAAGTCTAGCTCTGCTTAGGAGAAGCATTGGGCATCAAAACTGTTTTGCGTGGAACATTTAGAACTAATACAGCTGGACTACTGGAAACCTCCAAACCCACAAGGGCAAGGCCTACATACATCTGTATTTAATTGTTCAATAATTGTTGGTTAGTTATTTACATATCAAAAAGTCACCTTATTGACTTATTTTCATATTTATTTTTATCTTTAGATTTTTAAAATCTGTAAGTGATTTTATGTTTCCTTTTCTACTTTCCAGACTTTGTTACATATTTCTCTTGGTAATTAAAAAAATGAAGCTATTTTTAAAGAAAACATTTTGGTTTTAAAAAAAAATGTAAAGGATATGCAGAGTTCCTTCATGACTATGAAACATTTAAGCTGAATAAAGTGTCTGTATGGTACAGCAAAATAGTACAATCTCAGGATCTCAGCAGATGTTTGGATCCCAGCTTTACCACTAACCTTGCACAGGATTATAGTCCAAGTCATGCTTTCTTCATCTGTAAGAAGTTAAAAATAACATGTACCTTACAGAATGCCATGAGGATAAAATGATGCACAGCGCCTGGCAAATAGTAGGTGCCCGTAAGTGTGGTAATACTCCCTAGTAAGCTTGGTGAGAATCCTTGAGTAAAAGGAATTACCACAGCCTGCACCAGCCATCCCCCCCCAAGTGCATTCCCCTTTGAATCTGCAAGGGGCTCTGTTGCCTCAATTGTTCCCTATTGCTCCAAAGAGTTGCTATTGTGCTTTGAAATTTTTCTACATTTTTGTGTTCTCTCTTTTAAAACTGTACATGCAGATAAAACATTTTTTTAAAAAAACATCTTCCTAGAAATGACAGTGCACATTTCCTGAAGCACAACCTGTCATGTACAAAAACAATTCTGAAAAATATGAATGAATTAATCTGTTCATTGTTTCTTAAAGTGCACCAAAGTAAATAGTAATGACCTTTAAAATGTCACTAACTTCCTTGGGTTATTTTTTAAAATAAAACTAAATATTTATCAACTGAGATGTATGGGTTTTTGGCTCCAATGTAATGGCAAGAAGCAGCAGTGTTGTCCAGAAAAAAAGAATTGATAAATTCAACTAAGCATTCCTTAGCAGCAAACAAAACACTAACAATTCAAGATAACTGCAGGCTCAATAGAGCACAATCCTGATTCCTGCCACAAAAATAAAATCTGTCAATAAAACAAAACAATCTCCGCAATCTAAATCAAGGATTTTTCTTGAACCCTGAAGGTAACATTTATGTTAACTTTCCTATTTTGTATCCTTGGTAACAGGACTATAACAAATTACCATTCTTTCTTTACACTGCACACACACACACACACACACACAACCTATAAAAAAACAATAAAGTTTAAATGGCGAAGCCATGTGAGCAAAGTTCAAAGTCAAGAACAATCATCACCCAAAATGACAGACAGCTCCAATATTCACACCACCGTCCGATGTTCCCCACACACATAGACAGCACTGGGACGTATCCTTCGCCTTGTGTGACCAGGGAGCTGTGGCAGAAACTTGAAGGACTTCGGCATCATGTCCAGGCAGGCGTCATGGAATTTCTTAATCCTCCAGTAGTAGATCAGTGGGTTCAACGCAGACTTGAGGTAGCAGAGCCAGAGTAGCCAGGTGCTTATCTCAAAAAAGTTGTGCTTATAGTAAAAGTGCTTACTGAATGTTGCCACAAGGCTGTAAGTGGTGAATGGAGCCCAGCAGACAATGAAAACAGCAAAAAGAATCAAAATGGTGGTGAAGGCACGTGTTTTAAAGCCCATGTCAATGCTCATCTGGAAGGGTCTCTGTAGACTCATGAGACCCAGTTTGCTGGCCTGGCTTAGGCATATACCTTCTGGATAGCTATGGATCCTCAAGGCATTGTGCCGGAGGGTGTTGAGTATGCCCATAAATGAATACAGTATCACCAGGAAAGGTATGAAGAAAGAAATGAGAGAAATCAAAATCACATAGGCCTGGTAACCGGGATTGGTTGTGTACCCAAAGACACACTGGGGGGCTCGGGAAGGTATCTGCAGGTCAGGGTTTCCTACAGCCAAAGGAAAAGCTACACAAAAAGAAGTTGCCCAAGAAACTGCAATCAGAACCTTAGCCCTATATGGATTTAGCTTATCCTGCCTCTGGACTATAATAAGGAATCTATCAATGCTAATTATGAGTAGGATGGCAACACCTTCTATCACAAACAACCAGAAAAACATAGCTGAAACTCTACAGAAGAATTTCCCAAAAATCCATCTGGTAGTAAGAATAGTTACCAGAGCAAAGGGCATGTTCAGTACTGCAAGCAACATGTCTGCAAAAGCCAGGCTGGCAAGGAGGATGTTAATTGCAGATCGCATGGCAGCTTTTTGGTAAACCATGAGGCAAACAACCAAGTTCCCGAGAAAAGACACAGACAGAATAAATATCATGATAGCAGAAAGGATGATCTGAAGAGGCAAGCTCAGACTCTTGAAAACAGCTGGTGTTGGGGGCACACCTGTGCTATTCACTGTCAAGGAACTGAAACCAGTGGGAGCCATGGTTTCAAAACTGTATCTAAGCAGTGGACCAACGCTGGGAGGCTGGAACAGTGGAGGGGCCGTAATATTCATGTGGGAGTTTTCATAGACTACAAATGTTGTGTTGGATATCCCAGCATGGGACGCAGTCAACACTGCTGAGAAGACCATGGTTTCAGGAAGACAGAGGGTGCAGGCAAAGATGTGTGTGTTCTTCAAGCATTTCAACACAGAACAGCAGTATCAGGTTCCACTGATGGGCTTGGAAACACATTCTGGAAAATGGACAAAGGGTTCCATCTTCCACAGGAGTTCTTCTGCCTGCAAACAAGGCCACAACATGAAAAGTGAGAAATGAGCTTTGTAAATAACATTTGAGTTCTTACCTCATGTAGGATCAGTTTGCTCTTTTTCATACCTTGAAAATATCATTGTTCTGTTGTTTTACTTTGAGTCAACCATGATGGAAATTTCATGGCATTCATATATAAAGTGAAAAGGATCTCAAAATATTATTAACTTTTTTAAAATTTAAAATAATGTTATGCCCTTGCTAGTACACATTGAATTATATGGTTCTCCTAAGAGTACTAATTTTTTAAGAGCTTTAGAGATACACATAGTATTTGGGTTCATTCCAATAAACCCAAACATGCAACTTCTTACCAATTTCTACAATACACAAGTTTTATGTAAGGGGTTTTCTTAATCTATTATCTCACCAACTAATTTTCTTCCTTCTGTGGGTCTTTCCTAGAGAAATAACATTTTACTTAAAAAAAAAAACTTTCTTTAAATCTGTTAGACTTCAATAAACTCTTAAAAGATTGGGAAAAATATACAGAGATTGTAATCAAAATTGTAATTATATGGATATAAAATTAAGTAATTGATTTTTACAGGTAATTGCCAAAATTTCATGTACTTATTTCTTTTTTTTTTTTTAAAGAGTGAGGAGGGAGGGAGAGAGAGAGAGAGAGAGAGAATTTTTTAATATTTTATTTCTTAGTTTTCGGCAGACACAACATCTTTGTTTGTATGTGGTGCTGAGGATCGAACCCGGGCCGCGCGCATGCTAGATGGGTGAGCTACCACTTGAGCCACATCCCCAGCCCATGTACTCATTTCTTGACATATGAAAGGTGGGTATTTCACTTGAGAGATCTCAGACCCAACATTATAGCCAAATTATGGGCTCCCTACCATACCTGTATCTATCTATAACCCCCTTTTTTTGTCCAGCACTGTTTTTATGAATAAGAAAACACTGATCTATTTGGTCAGCTTATCAATTTTACTACTTCCTCTCATTTTATAGCTTATTTCTTTGCATCTACTACATTTTATCCATCCTCACATATTCACTGTGAAATGCAAACATTCCTGGACAAGATCCCATGTTTGACCAGTGGCTCTCAAACTTTATAACCAAAAAGGGATCAGTGGGGAGGGACTAAAGTTGTTGAAAGGCTTTTTATCATAATCAGTATAAAAACATATATATCATTAAAAATAAAACTGTGCTTACTACATAAGTCAGCCTCAATATAAGTCTACCTCCTGAGAAAAATTATAAATAAAAAATGTACATCTTAAGTCTAATGTGACACCTTAAGTTGTGTTTAACCAATTGTGTTAAAACACATTTAAAAAATATATACCATCTTTCAGTAGTACACAGTTAAAAACAGTTTCCTCGGGGGTTGAGGGAATATCTCTGTGGTATAGCATGAAGCCTTAAGTTCAATCCCCAGTACCCCCAAAAAATAAAAATTTAAAAACTAAAATGAAACAGTTTCCTGGACTATGTTGAAGAATAAAAACAAACAAAACAAAGAAATGAAACTAAAGCAAAGGTTTAATTTAAAAGGTGCTTTTTTAAAGTTGTTATATTTGTATATGTAGCCATAATGACTTTTCTGCCATTAACCCTCCCATTACTGTAAAAACTTCTAACTCAATTCATTTAGTTAATCATCAAGTATTTATTGAAGAGCTTACTATATTTCAGTCACTGAAGAGAAAATAATTAGAGCACTTGCCTAGTATGCATGAGGCCCTGGAGTCCACCCCCAGCAGCTACCCCCCCAAAAAAGGTAGACTCACAACAAACACTGCATCCCCCAAATCACAATGAATAGACAATTAATGGATTTTTTAAAACAAATTGTGCAAACCCAAAGGACAAGAGGTATGAATAAAAGACACATCTAAAAAATATTTTAAGGCAAAAAGCAAATGGTGTGATGCTTACTAACTTAACAAAGCAGAACAGAAAACAATGTATTCTTAATCCTTTCAAGGAAATATGCTTTGAGGAAGATAGACTGCCCTATAAATCCCAGAGAAGCTGTGGAAATCAGTAACCACAGAAAGTACATGTGGAGCAAAAACTGGAAAGATAACTGAAAATCAAAAAATCAAAAATGATTGAAACCCTACTCCAGGCCTGGGTCTCCTCTCCTCTGAGGCATCATGTGACAGCATCCATCCCCATTCCAGTAGCCCAAGTCTGTGGTAGAACTGAACCTGACAAGCACCAAACTAAGAATTATCAGTGTGGACTGCAAATAAGGAAATCAAGTCACTATTTAGAGAACATTCAGCATGAGAACCTCGCTCCTTTCTTAGAGGATCCAGAGGACACACTGCCTTCATCAAGGCTTCGGGAAACACTTTGGTTGAGAAGATCACCAGAGCATCTTTGAAGATCTCTGCAAGAGCTTTCTCTGCAGGCCAGGAATGACAATGGGCACTATTACCATTTAGAAATGGGGTACTGGGATTGAATGGGGACGACAGTATCACAGAGGGTCACAGGCTGAGTGACAGCATTTATCCAGAGATAAAGTGAGCATGGTTACCATAATGGCAACTGAGTGAAACCTGTAGTCAGAATAGTTTGACTTGCAGAGATCTTTGGTGTTTCTAGAGACCATTAGAAACCTAATAGATCCTACTTAATCTACATAATCAGAAAAGCTAAAAAATAGAAAGATGCAGCCCCTCAATAAATTCTCAAACTTGATCCAATACACAGTCCTATAGCCCTTGAGTAAAAGGAAGCCAGGTCCTCTTAAGGAAGGACCTTGTAACATGGCAACATTTTTTTTTAGTTTTTTTTTTATTTGTTCTTTTTGGATATACAGGACAGTAGAATGTATTTGGACATATTATATATACATGGACTATAACTTATTCTAATTAGGATCCCATTCGTGTGGTTGAACATGAGGTGGAGTTACACTGGTCATGTATTCATGTATGAAACAGCCAAATATTTAAACTATAAATCTTCCCCTCAGTCTTCCCCCAAAACACCTGCAGTCAATTACCAGGGTGAATGCACATTGGAGAAAGAGAAAATATTCAGAATTTTGTGGGATTGATGAATATGACTCTGAACTAACACTCATTCCTGGAGTGTATTGTGGTACTGTGTTTCACTATCCTGAGCAGGTGTTTAAAGAAATCACATGATTTATGATTTATGGATTATGGGCTCAGGACCAACTCCCAGTTATCCCAGAATTCATGCCATGGTTATTTTTCCCAGTTTTGAAATATAAAGTTGGTACAGACATAGTCAGCAGATTCTCTCACTGGCTTCTTAATCTGGAGTAAGGCTATAATGGTGTAATGGTCAAATGCAAACCTCTGGAACTACCTCTACCTATGAAAATAACAACCAAAAGCACAATTTCATTCCTATAGGGATAGAAGAGATTAGGATCACCATTGAGGACTTGAAAGATGAAGATCTTGCCAACCACATCTCCATTCAATTTGCCTAATTGATCATGCAAAAAAAATGGACATATTTGGGTACCAGATGTGGTTTCATTGTTGGAGCAAATCAACATATTCTCTGGCATCTGGCACACAACTATTGCTCTATCAAGTTCTGTTTTTTTCTTTATATTTGTTAGCAAAGACTACCTGAAGGATTTTGCTTCCTACTATCCTACTAGGACTCTACCAACTCTCCAACACAGACATAATATAGCCCATAGGGACCTTGATTGCCACTCCATTCCATACACTGCCATGCTATCCAATCATATGCTGACTCAACAGTAAGTAGTAACTTCCCTATATATGTGTGTCAGAGGGTGGAGAAATTCCTTCAAAAATTCAGAGGCACTTGATCTTTGTAAATATTCTATGGATCTAATAATGTCAGGCTATCTCTTACAAAATGTTATCTCCCTCTTCCTATTACTACAAAAAGAGGCATAGAATCTAGCATCTGCTTTTTTTCCCCATTGAGGCAATATACACCTCATTTTGACATTATTCTGACCCATTTATCAAGTAACTTGAAAAGCTTCCAGGTTTGAATAAGACTCAGAAATAGGTCCAGACTGCTATGAAAGCTATTCTTTCACTTGGTCTGTATAATTCAACAGATTCACTGGTGTTTTAATTGTCTGTGGCAGTCAGGGATAATATATAGTAACTGAGAGACACCTTACAGCTGAATCACAGCACAGACATTTAGATTTTCGGAACAAAACTATGCAAGATGAGCACTCCATTTGAACTTGATTTTGCTTGACCTCCAAAGCCATAAAAATTAAGAGTACATCCTGCCGCAGTCCGGCTGCAGCAAAATGACCTGGGGGTGACGAACAACTTGTGTACATTGATACAGCAGGAGTGGGAGCCATGTATTGTAGGACAGGAGGAGTATATATACATTCCACACAGCTTATCCTAATTAACATAAACTAGATACAGCAGTCAACCAATAAGGAATCTCCACACTTAATGGCTCCCTGGCGTTACTTCACAAACCACTCCCTCTGGCAAAATGCCAGGCGCCATCCTAACTTGTTTACAGACCCTAACATTTGCCAGGCGCCATCCTGACTTGTTTACAGACCCTAACACATCCAACACGGTGGCGCTTGCCTGTAATCCCAGCAGCTGGGGAGGCTGAGGGAGGATGATCGTGAGTTCAAAGCCAGCTTCAACAAAAGCAAGGCACTAAGCAACTCAGTGAGACCCTGTCTCTAAATAAAATACAAAATAGGCTGAGGATGTGGCTCAGTGATCCAGTGCCCCTGAGTTCAACCCCTGATTAATAATAATAATAATAATAATAATAATAATAATAATAATAATAATATAATGAGTGCACAGGACATTAAACCTTTTTTTATCCATTCATCTATTTTTTTTATTTTATTATTGGTCGTTCAAAACATTACATAGTTCTTAATACATCATATTACACGGTTTTATTCAAGGTGGGTTATGAACTCCCACTTTACCCCGTATACAGATTGCTGTATCACATCAGTTACCCTTCCATTGAT